CACATTATAATCGGGTCCAAGTCATAACATTATTAGTACCAAGGAGACAGGATAAATAATACGAAATATTTATACAGTAAAACTTTATACTAATAATTAATAATAATTAATATTTTTATTACAGAAAAGACAAAGTTGAATAACCTATTTACATAACCTACAATCATTTAAAACGTAGACATTAAACATATTTACTTGAAAAATAACGTTTCCTAGTAGATTTCTTAGCACTTTTTCACGGATAACATAATTTGCATTAAAATGTTTTTCACAAATGGAACTTTTGGGTTTAATGTTTATTTTCATACCACCAATAATTTGCACTATATTCTGTATAACTGTTTTTTGGCATTATAAAACTGCTATTAATATTTTGAAGACTCCCATAATCACAATTAAAAACAGCACAACGATCCACCATGATTTATATATTTTAAGATTTTAAAAAATATTTATCTGTCAACACTTTTTAAATTGCAGCTCCTACTTTTATCTTTTTATTTACTTTCTCGCCGGATAGATACTAGCGAACCTAGCGGATTTTGGCTAGGAAGTACGATCGGTTTTATCGCCGTTTTCATTTGTTTTTAAATAGGAGTTGATGCACCTTATAGTACACCGTGAACTAGGCCAAGAAACTAACAGAAAAAAGTAGGGAGGGCGTGTCTATAGAAACTTTACCGAAGCTGACCTTGAAAAAACGTTGGCTGCGATTAGAAATGGCATGAGTCAGGCAGCGGCCAGTAAACGGTTCAAAATAAGTTGAAGGGCTAGCATACGCGCCCTCCAGGTCATCTGGCGGTATTTACACCTGCAGAAGCGCCATAACTGTCTAAGACATTAGTGACAGTAAGCAATTAGGGATTTCCTTTTAACAAAGCTGATATTCGCGAATTAATTCACAAATACTTAGAAAAGAAAGGGCGTAACATTAAGGAGTTTAAAGACAATGATCCTGGACAAGATTTTATTGAAAATTCCACACCTGTAATTTTAAATCAATCAAAATACGTGTTTTTGACAGATCACCATGGCAACGGAGGTATTTTAGTGGAAATTTTTTTCTCGTGGGATACCCAACTGCGAATTATACTGGAAATTTTTTGACGTTTACAATAACAGACCATTTTTGACAGACTGGTTTTTATTTGTTCACATAATAGGTTTAGTTTTGATACATTTTAGTTACAATGCTAAGGTGTTTTCTATATTCTTCGGCCACTTCTTTTCTTCTTAATGGCGAAAATGCAGGACTTTGGATGCTTTGAATTATGTGTCTATGTCTAATAAAATATATATAATATTTAGACACTAATTTATTCACCTTTTTCCCATTCAGCACTTTGAATTTTGCGTAGTTTAGGTGCAAATATTCGTGGACAATTCGGAACAAATTTTCGTTTTTCAAGTTGGAGCCACAATCCTCTATTAATCCGAGTAAGTAAGTCATGGTGCAATAATTGATCATTACATCAGACAATTTCACGCATATTTTGCATAGCGTATGATTTTCAAATCGATTCATTTTTAAACAAATAGGTAATTTTGTTGGTTTTACTTGCTGTGCAATATTCTTTATCGCAACAAAACGCGATTTATTTAATGTTTTGAACTGTCAAAATACAATGATCACAGCCTCCTACGATTGATGCTTGCTGACGCTGGTTATGAATTTCATACCATTTTAAAGCGCTCATAACGCATGTTAATAAAAACGCAGAAAAACAATTTTCTACCACTTGTAGTTATTCAAAACTTACGTAAAATTAAAGAATATACTATTTTCTATTTTCAAATGGTATTCCCATGCAACTACAATGAGTAGAAATAAGCAATTTGAAGGCCTAAATAATTGCAGCGAAACATTTTTTTACGTCGGGCCGCTTGACAACTTCAAAACTGAAATTATATTCGAGGTTAGGGTCTCACTTAGTTACCATGACAACTCAACAATCAAGGCGACAACACCTTTTATGTTTCACTGGTGACTTGGAGAAAATAATTTGCATTGTTGAGAAACGAAAAATAAATTTTAAAAATATTTAATTTTCAACCATAATTCAGCGTGGAATTTTCTTACCGAATACCACGCGAGGTCAAATTAATATCAGGAAATTTTTTGACCTCTAGTGGTATTACTAGTGAAAACTTCATAATCCGGAATAATCTGAGTGTCCGTTTGGCTGCAAACATAAAGCGAACACGTGCAGCGGTAGGGCCGAATCAAATTGGCATATTTTTTGATAACTTTTAAGATGTTTTGAAAGATATTGATCCCTCCTTGGTTTTCTTACGTTAAAACTAATGCCCAAGATTGTTCAGGATTAGCATATTTTTTGAAGTTAGTGTCTTGATGGCTAAATTAATTATAATTATAGCTACAAAATGTCTATGTCATATAAGAATTGAAAGAAAAATAAAATGGTAGAAAACTGTTACACAGTTTCTCTCGCATACTATTTTTATACATATTTCATAAAATAATAAACTCACATTAAGTTGAAACACATTCAACAACATTTTTGATCCTTTAACGAGTTGGATATTTACTGCATGTACGGTGTCGCAAACCTCAGAAAAGTAAGTAGCTGTAATTTGGTAGTCATTTCTTCATAATGGTGGACAAAAAGGGTTCAAAGCAAAAAGATGCTTTAATGTTTAAGAGAAATGGGCTATTGTCAAAGGTTGATCGTTGTAAGGCCTGGTTAGGTGAAAACACATCCCAAACTACTCAAGTTAAAAAGCAAAAGAGCTACAGTGGAAAAGCTGTTCGCAGAATTTGATGAAATTAATTACCATGTGCGTAAATGAAGAACAACGGACAATGGTTGAATATACTTATTTTTATTTAGTAGCACAAGTAGATAAGATTATAGAAAAATCGTCAGGTAAACAATCCAGTTTTCCAGAAATCAAATTTCCAATCAGTATTCCTATATTCTATGGTAATCTTCACAAATGGGACAATTTTTTTTGACTTGTTTCAATCTCTTATTGATAATAATACCTATTTGACAACAACACAAAAGTTTCAATATTTAAAATCATTCGTAGAAGGTGATGATTTAAAAATAATTTCTAATTTAGGTACTTCGAAAACAAAGTACAAAGTAGCTTTAGATCTTTTATACAATCGTTATCAAAATATAAATAGAATCATCCTAAATCATATCACATTACTTTTTGAATTACAGCCGGTTCAAAAAGAATACCATGCTCAATTGAAACAATTTTTAGATACACTTCAAACACATGTTGGTGCCTTAACAGCATTTGGTTTGTCTGAAAAGTCAATTTTAGATTTGTTTTTTGTTTCTCTCTTATCCACAAAGTTAGATAAAACTACGTTAAGACACTGGGAAGCTAAAGTATCTAAGAATCAGAATCTACTTACATTTGAACTCTTTTACAGTGATCGGGAAAAAGATGTAATTCTTTGGAGATTGTTACCATTATCTTGCTTTGTAGATGAAAGTGGTATAATCAGAGTTGAAGGACGTCTAAAGATTGCCAATATCTCATTTACATAAAAATATTTGTCCTTTCAACAAGTCATAAAATTAATAGAATTATTAATTAAAAATGAACGCATCAGTCTGCTTCATGTTGGTCATCAAGCAGTAATTACATCCCTTAGAACAAGATATTGGCCTTTAGCATCTATAAATATTATAAAAAAAGTAATTTAATGCCTAATTTGTTCGAGATTTAAACTCAAGTCCCACTGATGGGTGATTCATTTCAACATAGAGGCTCTGTAAAAATTAGAGAAAGTCGAAAACGTGGAAGAATCAACATATACTTGTGTTGCATATCTATTTTTGTTTGCTTTACAACTATAGCAGTTCATATGGAACTAGTTTTAAGTTTAAGTTTTAAGTTTAGAAGCGTTTTTAATTTCATTAAAAAGATTCATGTCCAGGCGTGCAAAATGCACAGATATATTTTCAGATATATTCGTTTGATTAATATACCGTTCAAAATCTTCCAATATGCAGACGATATATGTATCTACACGAAACAAAAGAAATATGACTCTTCCCTTACATCCTTAAATACAATTATGTCTAGTTTGCAGTCTTGGTGCCGTATTAATGGTTTTGAAATTTCTACCAACAAGACTGTTGTATGTACTTTCACCCGACATAACACACCTAATAATAATAGTACAATTAATTAAAAACAACAAGAATTTCCTTTACAAACTCACGTTAAATATCGTGGAATGATCTTCGATAAGAAGCTTACGTGGAAACATCACATTGAATATGCGTTGAACAGGTGTCAAACGGGTCTAAATTTTCTAAAATCTATTTTGAAAATTTGGTTAGGTGCCGAGGATAATACAGGTTTACTATTTTATAGATCCTATATTCGATCTATACTGGACTATGGGTGTATTTTGTATGGATCAGCCAACAATTCTTTACTGAAAAAAATTTTAAATTCTGTACTACGCACATGCTTGGGTGCTATGAAATCTACTAAAACTCAATCCCTTTATATTGAAGCTGTAGAGCCACCCATTAAATATAGAATATAATACCTAAGTCAAAAATTTCTCTTTAAGGCATTCTTACATAACTCAAAAGGCAAAGGCAACCTTATTTTCTAAAATTATTCAACTTAATACATATAACTAGGGCACGGAAAAAATGCAAACAAAAAACACAAAAAAATGCTCAAAAATTTACCCAAAAATGCAAAAAAATGCAAAGATTTTAGAGAAAAATGCAAGAAATTAAGCATAATATTAAGCTTGCTAAATTTATTTGTATAATTATTACACCTGTATTTTTTTACTTAGAAATTATGATGAAAATAACACTTTCAGTTTTGGTAATGAGGGAATTTTTCAAAAATCAAACACAACTTTTAAGTAGGTAAATAAAAGTTTTTTATTTACAATCTAAACAGAAAAACAGTACAAAAATATAAAAAAAATGTTAAACTTAGATTATGCCTTACAATTATGAAAACAATTAATAATTAAATGTTTCTCAAAGTTTTCCAGAAGGAAACTTTGTCTCTTGTCCGTGTTTAAAAACAGAAAAACTTCTTTCAACATCAACTGATGTAATAGGAGCATACTTATATTTACAAATTATACTTGTTTTTATATCCGGCACATTTATAGTATTTGCACCTGCAAACATTTTTGCAATATTTTGTAAAATATGAAAGTCTGTATTATTTTGAATCACAGATTCCATTTTTTTGCGAAACAGTGACCCAGTAACTCCACAGATTTTTTTACAATCCGACTCAAACTGATTTATTAGAGCAACCGACTCTGTTAAAGAAGCATATGATTTTTCTAATTTTGTTATAGTGGTAGAAACAAAAAAATAATTGGTTTTTAAAAAAATTAGGTCTTTTTTTATTTGAGGATTTTTAAAAAGTTTTTTAGAACTCATAAGAGCGGAGGAAGAGGAGTCTGTCAGATCGTCTATTACACTTTTAACTGTTTCGTAATTGTCGGCATAAAACATAACTGCATCAAGCCATGTACTCCAACGTGTTACAACTGGTTGTGGGGGTATGGAAATATTTGGGCATTTTTCTTTGTACAACTGAATACGTATTGGGGCTTTTAAAAATACTTTTTTTACAAAGGTAATCATGTCATTTACCAAAGGAAATTCCTCTCTTGTACATTCTGCTACTCTATTAATTCCATGAGCCAAACAGGTTACATGTAACATGTCAGAATAAAAATTTTTTAAATTTTGTCCTGCTTTCACCATGTAAGGTGCAGCATCAGATAAAAATAAGATAAATTTTTCCCCTGTGATTGCATCAGGTAAGAAGAAATTGGTTAAAGAGTCTTGAACAAATCTGGTAATTGTTAAATTATTCGCTTTTTCAAGTTTTTTTGACGCAAAAAGATAAGATCTGCCAGGGGTCGCCTCCTCTAACACGCCAATTAACGCATGTGCAATGTATCTACCGCACGAATCTGTGGTTTCATCTACTATAATATAAAAATAATTTGAACTAACAACTTTTTTTATATTAGTTAAAGTTTCTTTAAAAATCGAATTGACACTTCCTTTTCGTATGGTTGATTCATCGGGGATATTTATATTACAGAACTTGCCTAGAAATTGCCTTAGGTTGGGATTGTTTAATTTTGCCAGCGGTATATTGCTCGTTGAACTGCTTTTGTTGAACGGTGTGTTTTGCACTTTGTTTAAGGCAAGTTTTTAGAGTTTGCTGTGATGTACCTCCCTCCGATTTCTGCATATTAAGAATATGCTTTGAGCATTTGGCATGCTGATCCACAATGAATTTTTTATCAGCATGAATCTGTAATAGCAAGAAAAAAATAATTAAAAATTTGTTTATGATGTTGCTCAAATGTTATATAGAAAAATTAGTTTGTCTTGTACTTTGCTGGCATCGCTCAGCCATCAAATAAGACTCAGATGAGAAAGCTCTGTTTCGCCTTACAAAACAATATATTATTCTAAAAGAAACACTTTGGTACTATTTCAGATACCTTATTCTTATTTATTTCTAAATAAAAAAATATACTTAGTAAAACAGAATACTTACAATTTTTGAACAAACTGTACAGAAAAGTTTGTCTCCATCTCATGTAAATTCTCGGTAACCTTTAATCCACGCTGTATTAAAAGGCATTTTACTTGAGAACCAATTGGACTTCCAACACTTCTAACGTATAAGTTCCGAATTCTTAACACTTTAACAAATTACTAAACGAAACACACAATTTACGCAAGGCAAGGGTAGCACTTTCTAAATAGAACTAAAATTATATTTATTTATAAATTTTTCTCTTTATAGACCAAAGGTTTAATACCAAACAAACAAGTACCTGGAATCCCAAGTAGGTTATTTTAACTGCTTTGGGTTTCCCTAATTTTACCTGATAAGAAAATGTTATGGTTAGGAGGATTATCTAGGGAATTACGTTATTACTTTATTGCAGGTACCTAAAAAAAGTCCGAAATAAATCCTTTATGTTGGTTGTATCTAACAAAATTTTAAAATTCTTGAGAAATAAGCAAAAAAAATTCTAATAGGAAAAAAATGCATTTTTTTAAAAAAGTACAAAAAAATGCAGAAAATGCAAAAAATGCAAATTGCATTTTTTCCGTGCCTTAAATATAACAAATAAATACTGGATTCATAAAAACTCACCACCGTTATGTAAAGCTGTTCAAAATTGTGAGATAGCGTTCGATTCCCTAGGTTCTTTCGACCAATTCTTCATTACATGCGACTTTCCTTGTTTCTTTACTAAAGTCTCACTTAGACAACCCAATTATGATGAAAATCCTCATAATTGTTCAAATCTACTCCTCTGTAACCTGAACATACTGTTATATAAACCGATGCATCCAAGTCAGACCTAAGCACTGATTGCGCTTACTGCATATTAAAGCTCTTTACAAATTACCTGATAACTTTTCTAGTTACACTGCAGAAGCGATTACGATACTAGAAACCTAACAATTTGTAACAGAATCTAAAACTAAAGCAGCTTTAATTGCTTCAGATTCTTTATCTGTTATAAAATCGGCTGTAGCTCTGAATATTCCAAATTTTAATTAAAATCCATATATTTTCTTGATCAAAAAGGTATTGTTCCAACTAATTAATAATAACGTAAAGATATGTTTTATATGGGTAAAGGCTCATATTAGACTTAAACATAATGAATATGTTGATATGCTAGCAGAATCTGCAATAAAAAAAGGAACTAACACCATTCGTAACATCTGTAGCCCAGATATTGTTGCCTTGATAAAATCCAACAATATGAGAAAATGGAACATGATTGGTCACAATTCTGTTCCACTTATTCGAATCAGTACACTAAAATTCAAAGACATATTCTTAACTCACCCTGGTTTAAAAATTATATAATTCCAAGACACTACATTACATCTTTAATTAGAACCAGATTTGGTCATTCTAGTTATTCCAAACACTTGTTTAAAATTAATGTAAAAGAAGATGAAAATTGTGACTTTTGTGAAACAATTGGAGACCTTAATCACGTTTTCTTTGAATGCAAGAAATACGCAGTACATTCAAACACGCTTTATATGAATCATATAAAAAATAAAATTCCATCCCCCTTAAATATTGAAACAGCTTTAACACATTTTTCTGATAATATTATCAATTGCCTCTTACAATTTTTGAGATTCTGTGATTCGTCTATGATTGGAATCTTAATCTTGTTTCATCTGTATTCTACCTATTTGTTTACCCTCTTACCGAGGCCTAATTTTGTTTGTGTATTAAAAAACACGTCCTGATGGATTCCTGGATGAAAAGCGAGTATCCCCGTCCTATATTGTTAGTTGCTTTTCTTCTTCTTGCACCTCTTGCTATTAGGAAATATTCTTGGGTACTTCTAATTATGGACGAATCTGTGTCTGGCTGAATGACAAAGTACCTATGCCAAAAAAAAAATCTTTTCAGATAATGCAACGAATTTTGTTAAGGCAAATACATTAAAAGAATTAGTCATCCTCTCATCAGAAGAACATTGGAGTACAATTTATGATTATCTAGCAAATAACACAGTGAACTGGAATTTTATTCCATCTGGGTCCCCAACTTTTGGAGGATTATGGGAAGCCACCGTAAAATCATTAAAACATCACGTAAAAATTCCAGGCCAATAGCCCCATTATCAGAAAACCCCAATGATTTTCAAGCCCTTACTCCTGCACACTTTTTAATTGGAGAGGCAACAACTAACCCTGAACCAAATTATACGGTTAGACAGATGGAATCACATCCAAAATTTTTATCAGCACTTATGGAAAAGATGGTCTTTAGAATATTTTATCAGTCGTATATGAGGTTTGTAAAAAAATATAATTTTTATCAAGAGTAAAGTACCGTCACAGTAACGTCTTCGTCTGGCAATAATAATAATGGAATGATACTCGCGTTTGGCTATAAAAAATAAAAACATAGTTACAATAATAAATAATTTCTAGTCATACTGTATATATAAAATGTTTCGCACCACCCCATCCAAGGATCTTCGCAACAAGTAGCTCTTCAGGAGTATCGATTTGAGAGTACAGCTTCAAATCATCTGTAAACATGAGACGACTGCAATTCAACTTCGAGAATAAATCGTTAATAAAGTTGACATTTACTTCCAGTATAACCGAATATGATAAAAGTGTTGAGGTAGATAGCAAAATGTACTTTGTATGTATGTGCTGAAATGTTCATATTATTAAAAATGATCTCTGAATAATATATTTCTGCTTTAATTTTTCAAATGCATACCTAAAGAATAGAGTATTAAAATATGAAAATGTTATTTATAATATAGGGGAAAAAATATTAGATTTTTCACGTGTGTAATACATTATTTTTTCTGTGACGGAAAAAAGATTTAATATTAAAAAAAATATTCTAGAATACCTACCTTTACTTATGTGTATATATATCCGGGAAAAGAGTACTTACTTTTTTCCGGGGAAATACTTTTTTCCGGGAATCAGGGAAAAAGTTATTTGATAAAAAGTGACATTTTGTTACCTGACAAGAGAGATAAAATGTCAAACTTTTTTCCCGTCACAGAAAAAAGTATTTATTGACTTGAAGTTAGGTTTGGTCATTCTTCTCACATTTCTGTTAGAGATAACTAAATATCGATAGTTATAACTATACTCAAATTTATAAAGTTTATTAATTAAAAAATGAAGGCTTTCACTTTTCCAGAGTATATTCAAATATAAACATTAAAATATAAAAAATTAATAAAAACAACTAAAAATTGCACTTTTCTATCCAATTTTAACTTTAATATACGGGGTGTTAAATATTTAAAGAAGGAACAGTATAGACCAAAATAAACAAAAAAGTCTTAATAAACATGGGTAACAGTAACAGTTTCAGAGATATGGTAGTTTATTCTTTTTTAAAACATTTAATTACAATTATTTATTATGCACAAAAGAAGTTTTAAACAAAAAAGAAATTTAGATAAAATGTTCAAAGTGCACTCCTTTTTCTGAAGGATATTCGAACTATTATTAGCTCGAATTTGTTGGCAATTTTTATTAGTTCATTGCTGCAGCTTCTCAAGGCTTTCACAAAACATCAGCCAACTGTGACATGAAAATGCAAGTTTTTAAGAAATAAAAAGGAAATAAAAGAAGAATAAACTTTCACATTACCAAAACCATTACTTTACGGACCCATCTGTATTAGGACTTTTGTTTATTTTTGTTTATATTATTACCTATAGAAATATTTTACACTCTTTTCTAATACCCCGTATATACAGGGTGATTCATAACTATTGGGACATAGGCTAAGGGCAGGTTATTTTGACCAAAATATGGCGATTGGACCAAATATACCAATAGATATAATCTCACAGCAAAAATAATTAATTGGCAAGAACTGACATTTACCAGACACAATTATCTGACAGTCCAAAGCACACTTTTCATAAATAAAATATTTTTTGAAATATCCTTCTGAGACACTGAACTGTTCAATTGCGTTTTTCTCGAAAACAGGTGAAATTATCGTGTTTAAACAAGAGTACCAATATTACGTAGAAATGATGTTTACGTAATATTTTCTAATAAAAAGCACTAAAAAATTTCGGCAAAAAACTTACCACTTAATTTCATCATCAGGAATCATTCTCGTGACGCCCCCTGTAAAAAAATGTGAAAAAATACATAAAATAATATCCCTTGTCCAAAGATATGCCTTTAAGCCGATTTTAATAACAATTCATAAATATACAGTGAGATTATAAAAAAAAAACGAAAAAAAAAATTCAACTTTAACGCCCTGTATCTTATTTCACAGCCATATTTTATTGAAGTATATTTGGTCCTATCGCCATATTTTGATCTAAATAACCTGCCCTTATTCTATGTCCCAATAGTTATGAATCACCCTGTATAATCACTTTCCTAAATTAAAATATTAATTTTTAAATAGAAAAATATGGTAAGAATTGTTAAATGAAACCATGTCGACATTTTTTTGGGTTTTTACCATCTTCTTCTTCTTGTGGACAGTAGTTGTCCAGATTTAGAAAATTACCTCTCACTAGGTACTGATGTGGCTGGGATAGGTATTTTAAAGCTAACCCCTTCAGTATAATATATAAATAAAAATTTTCTTGATTTAATCGTTCAAATGTTTTTATTTTCTATTGTTTAGCACACTACATATGTTTCGGAAAATACAATTTTTCCATCTTCAGGTGCAGTCAA